GTTTTTTAACGAGGACATAAAGTTGGGCATGAAAGGAACAGGGGGTGGATCTGGGAGGAGGTGGGAGAGGATGTGAATACAAGCAGAACACACTGACATTTTTAAAGCGCTAACTAAAAATGAGAAAGGGGGAAAAAGAAGTGAACTGGAAAAGGTCTCAGGGACACATACATTTTTCTCTTAGAACAGCACTTAGTAACCACTGTGTACCAGGCGTTTTCCCATACTTTATAACAACCCTGTAAGGGAGATAAGTAGATGAGGCAGGCAAAGCAGCATTTGAGGACGGGAAACAAGGGGTGCATCTTTCCCTGGGAGGTGAAAGCTAGTCTCAGTATCCCTCCAGGTGAAATGGGACACTGGACTCCCTCCAAGGGAGTTTGTAAGAAAGAATAGAAATGAGTTGGTGGGAGGTTTCACTCCACAGTAAATGGGTGATTTCCGGTCTCCCTTAAAGCCAGGATGAAATGTTCTTGCGGACTGGTCAATTCCTGGTGGGAGAGCCAAGCCTACCCTCCTTTCTGATTCCAGTCCCTGGTGCAGCGTCATCAGACTGCATCTCAAAATGGAGTTTCCATCACCCTGCACAAGGCATGGTTGTGTGCACCCTTGGGGTCCAGTGGCTTCTGCCGACAATGGAGGAAGAGGCGGGGCTCTGCTTGGCCAGTGCACCAAGGACCAAAGCAGAGCGCTCAGGCAGGTGGGCTCCTTTCTTCCTGCATCTCCCCAGCTCAATGCACACCAACACACACCAGTCAATCCCCTGACCTTGTTCTTTTCTTCTCTCCGGTATAACTTACCCTTACAAAACACTTTGAAGAGAGCTTTATAATTTCCCAGTGATAAATGGAGACCGTGACTCTCGGAGAGACTAAGAACCTGGACCAAAGTCACACAACTTGCGAGCACTGAAAATGGTGTTTAAACACAGGACCGGGTCCTCCCTACAGCGCTATCTGCCTGAAAATGTGCCTAAAGCTACAAATTAGGGCTTGATTTCTAATTTTATGTCACAAAATGGGGCTTGATTTCTTACTTTTTAATCTTGGTATGCTATTTAGATTTCAGGGGAAAAAAATGACGAAGAAAATGTTAGTAACATAGCACTAACTTAAAAGTATGTCAGATTTCTCTGAAAGCCTCTTTCCTGAGGACCAGCTTTAACAGTACCAGGAGGTTCTATGCAGGCTGCCAAAGAAAGGTAGCAGTCAATAGTCTTCCACGCTGTCATGCTCATGAACCATAATGACCAGCATGGCAAGATATCACTAAGGTGCAATGTAGGCAATTAGATCTTGGTGGTAGCCAATGTCTACCTAATTGGCATTAAGACACAATCAACAGGATGGAAATGATGCCTAGTGATGGAAACCTAGCCAACTATTGGGGCTAGTGAGATGCATCATAGAGGAGAACCTACCACTGCCATTTACTAAGCCAGTGTAATTCCTAACTGCATTTGACATGTGCATTCTTTTATCCACAAATAAGTATAGCTCTCAGCTGTCATCAAAGAAGCTCCTCTTCACAGCAGACAGAGACCATTACAGAAAGCACAGCTGACCGTGGGGGCCCCAGTGCCAGCCCCAGCGCCAGCTGATATATCTACAACACAACCACACAACCCTCACACCTGAGACTCAGAAAACATAGCTGAAGAAGGGGCAGAAAGACTGTAAGAACCAGAGGACCAGGAAGTCTGCTTTGAGATTGTATGTGTGTCTCCTAGGAATATCAGGGAAGCTGCAGCTGTGGTACCTCCATGGAATAGCTGTCTAAATAACACCTTAACAAGGGCACCACCGATGGACATGCTAGCCTGGAAGGGGGAACTCTCACGGGGCCCCACCTCTACACAAAGAACTAAGGGCAGCTGAGAGAAGAATTCCCTTTCCCCAGGGAGGTACCCCATAACTGGTTTTCCGATACCAAGCAGTCAGTCCAGAAATCATACACATATAAGCAGTAATAAAGAGAATCAGCAGGTCCTGATTATGTTATTCATGCACATAGATATGAAACAATAATAATGAAAAAGGAGGCCATGAATTTGAGAGGGAACAAAGTGGAATATGGAGGGGACTGGCAGGAGGAGAGGAATGGGGACAATGATGTCATTATATTTTAATTTTTTAATTGCAAAAATAATTTGGTTGATTTTTTAAGTATGTCAGATTTAGAACTAATACATTATATATATAAAAAAGACAAAAACATTAAGGAAAATTTTTTCCAGTATTCAGATACTATCACCCAGTTTAGCAAAGAATGCACTGGTCATCAGTGACTTCTATGCATTAGTCAGATTCTGACAAGCATCTTGAAGTTCGAGTTGCTTCACTTTACTGGTATCAACCAACATTTAACACTACACTTGTTTGTCAGTTCCCACCACAGGTTGGTTACGGATAAAACACACCCACAGAAAAGCAGTTCAGACACTGAGGGAACCAGTTAACAGACACGACTGGAATTTACAGCTCATTTTTGGAATTCACAATAAATAGTAGCCTTATATAATTAAATAAAAATTTCGCCGGGCGGTGGTGGTGCACGCCTTTAATCCCAGCACTCGGGAGGCAGAGACATGCGGATCTCTGTGAGTTCAAGGCCAGCCTGGACTATAGAGCGAGATCCAGGAAAGGCGCAAAGCTACACAGAGAAACCCTGTCTCGAAAAACAAAACAAAACAAAACAAAACAAAACAAATTCCTATCATTTTTAATTTTGTGGTACAGTTCTTTTATGCCTGTATGGTTTACCTGAAAACTATACGTGTGTACAGATGGGAAAATACATTCACAGGGAGTTTTTGAAGAGCCTGTTGTTAAACTTGTGCCAACACATTCACAATCGAATTTCAAACTCAGTTTTACAGATAGTGGGGAGACAGGCCTGCAGGGACAGCCAGCAGTCAAGGGACGGGTTTATTTCATAAGCGTGCTGCTCTAGAACCCGGAGTGTGGGGCCCATGAGGTGGCTCAGCAGGGGAAGGTGCTCAGCAGGGGAGAAGGTGCTCAGCAGGGGAAGAAGGTGCTCGGCAGGGAAGGAAGGTGCTTGCCACCACACATGACAGCCTTTTCAGTCTCCGGACCCCACATGGTGGAAGGTGAAAACCAGTTCTCACAAGTTGTCCTCTGACCTCCACACATGCATCCATGCCATGGCACTCACATGCCCACGCACACACACAAACTTACATGCACACACATGAATAAATAAAAATTTTTTTAAAAAAGAAAGAAATTGGAGTCTTCCAGACCAGGAATTTTCTTTTATTTATAGTAATGGTAACTTCTATTTGTGGTGGGTGATTCTAGCTCTAACTTCTTCACACTATCATGTGTTCTCTGTCTCTGTCTGTCTGTCTGTCTCTCTCTCTCACACACACACACACATACACACACACACACACACACACACACACACACACACACACACACACACACGGGAGGGGGAGGGGCTACTCCTCCTGTAAGGACTCAACACATCAGCAAGCACCAACCACCCTGTGACTCCAGGTTGTCTGAGAACCCAGATGGTTTTCCTGCTGCTCCAAGAGCTGATTCCTGATGCTTCTTGGGATTTTGTGAGCTAAGACCCCAGCAGAGCCCTCGGTGATGTGGTCTGGACCAGCATTGGCACTCAGGATACAAATGAGATTTTACCAGCTAGTTTGGAAGATGAACTGGCAAAGAGAGAAACATATCAAGATTACCCCAAGGTCGGCGTGACCTCGGGACATCACCTGCTTGGTCTCTTACAGCTCTTATCTGTGCTGGGCTGTTCCGTTTGCCAGGAACAAAGATCCTGTCAATCCTCCACTGATGGCTATTTGCTGTTACAAGGACAGCTACAACACTATCAACCAGCATTTGTGCTGAGCTCCAAATTGCCCCTCCACGCTCTGCCTCAGGCTTTGTTACCTGGCAGGCTGCCCTGTGCTTTCGTGTTCCACTTGCTTTCCCTTTGGTCTTTTTGCTCGGACTGAACTTTGGAGCGGGGTGTGCGGGCTGGAGATTATAGAGTGGGAACCGAAGGCTTGAGGAGGCTATCACTGCTGCACCCTCCATGGAGACTACAGTGTACCTTGTCATACCGTGAGACCTGTGAACCCAGCCTTGAGAGAATCCTTTGTCAATGGCCTTCACCTGTTCACACCATGTAGTCTCTTATGCACTCTTCAGCCACCATTTTTGACTGTTCTGCTACCTGTTGACAGTGTGCCTACCACATGCCAGGCTCTTCTCGGTAACAATATCGATCAATATGAACAATATGACAATGTGAACAATATGTTCATCCTCCCATTCAGTCATCCCAACAGCCCTGAGAAGGAACATCAGCATCAGCCTGGTCTACAAATGAGGAAACCGAGGCCCAGTGTGGCCACTTCCTTGCCCAGTTCCATAGGGCCAGAGAGTGCATCTTCCAACACCGATGTATTGGGTGGGGTGTGCGGGGAAGTTGTGACATGTTTTTCCCTCTGGCAGCATGCAACAGGACATGCCAGCAGGTTGCAGGAAGTATGAAAGGGAAGACCCTGATCCCCGCTGAGGTCCCAGAGCCTCACTGTGTCCCTGCCCTTACTGCTGCTTTCTCCGTGTGGTCCAGCCACATTCTCCCTGTTTCTAGTGAGGCTGGAAAAGTAGGGTTGAGGTCATGTGGTAACGGGTCTTGAAGAACAACCTGAAGCTCTGTTTGTAAAATCCCTAGGAGCTCCTGAGGATGTCTACTGGATGCAGTAAGATAAATGACAGCACCGAGGGCGTGGCCTGGGTTAAGATTAGCCTCCTCCCTCAGTAAACCCAATCAGCTCTTCCCCAACACTCGCCAGGCAAGCATACAAGGACAGGCAAAAGCAATGTGATCTCCAGCCCTGCTCCACCCATCAGGAGCCACTCTTGGCCCTCCGTGCAAAAATTAAGCCACAGCCAGAGGCTCTTTTCTCACTCTGTCTCGAAGCCTGCTTTTTAAGTGGGAAAGAACCGGGACATCACCTTTTTGAGAATCCCGTCAGGACACACACACGAAGAGCTGGCCTCCGGGGACAGTGAACATTTCTCTGATTGTCACCACTGCGGGCCGTGCCAGGCTTCATTCTCCTCCCTGGAGCTGCTGACACGTTGGCGTGAGCATCCTCCACGGTAGCTTTCATGGTAAATTAGGTTTTCCAGCCGAGTCAAAGATCAAAGGCAGCACGAGAGATGACGGTTTATTTTCCTGTGTGAGTCACAGCTGGGATGACCAAACACAGAGTTCACCAAATGTTGTGAGCCGTGATGACAGTGCCAAGACAAAATTACAGCTTCCTGGTGTGATGCTCAATTAAAACTTGTCACCTGGCTCAGGGCACTGTCACTATTGGTGACAGCGTGAATTACCCATCACCCAAAAAGTCTTCCTCTGGGAATTTATCCTAACGCACTCTTAAATATGTAGGCTAAGACTTAGCTACAGAGATAATCTCCAGACAGCTCTTTAACAGTGCAAACATTCAGAAACAACTTAATTTCCCCCCCCCCAAAAGAGGGTAGTTAGCTAAAGACAGTATCACCATTAATAGGCTACCACTATGGTCCACATTCCATAAATAGTTATGCACAAGGACTCCTGCATTTGTGTATTATGGCCTGGGGCAGTGTGGGAAGAATCTGATATTCCCCTTATTAACATGGGTGAATGGTATCATTAGCTTGTCAGATGGTCTTTTTGCCACCACCCCCATTATGAGTCTGAACTACTTTTTGGATAAAATATTACAACAGACCCAGACCCATCCACCATCTACATGTGTACTGACTGAGTAATTGCTCCAAACTCCCATCCACGCCATCCACACCACCCTGCCACACCCAGACCTCCTCCCACACTGCCCCTTATGCTCAGTTGGGTCACTATATGCGCCCACTGGGTGAATTCCCTAGATCTTTTTCACTTGCAAACTCCATACCCAGGCCCAACGAGGAGTCCAACCTCTGTGCACACACCCTGTGACAGTCATTCCAGACCCTTGCCTGCGTCCCTCCACTCCCAGATTGCACCCACACTTGCTCTCATGGTGACTCTGCTCCACACTACCCCTTCTTGCTCAGGCCCAGTCGGGAGTCACACGCATCTGCTCTATCAGTCACCGCCCTTCTATGCTTGGACCAAGTCCAGAGCCACATCTGCAGGCTTTCCCACTTACCACTGAATTGGAATCAACTCCGTGTCTCCAATCAAAAATTAACACTGAACACTCAAAGGACTGACCTACAAACCTTCATTTCTCATCTGAAATGCACCAAGTCTGAGAAACAGCAAAACTTCCACTCAACAGAGGCAGCTAGATTGTCATTTCAGACACATAGCCAATGAAGTAAGCCCCTCTGCACATGTCATATCACACAAAACACAATATGAAAGACCGTGACAGTATGTCCCTCACCACTACCACCCCCCAAAAATCCACTAGTCCTGTGGAATTGTTCTTCAGTGAGAATTACCCAGATGAACTCCAGGATACAAAATTTAAAAGAAAAATTATAAACACGATTAAAGAATTCAAGAATTTTAAAGAGGATATGAACTACTTGAATGAACTCAAAGAAAAGAGTAATAAATCACTGATAAAAGTCTGAGAAAACACAAGCGTGAGGCTGAATGAAATGGTAAAGACTGTATTAGTTACTGTTCTGTTGCTATGATAAAACACCATGACCAAAAGCAACTTGGACAGCGACAAGTTTGCTCTGGGTTTACAGTTCTGGAGGGAAAGAGTCCCTAACGGCAGAGGAGGCATGGCATCAGGTGGCCAGAGCAAGAAGATGAGAGAAAGCCCATCCTCACCCACAAACAGGAAGCAGAGAGAGCGAACTGAAAGTGAGGCAAGGCCATGGGCTCTCAAAGCAACCCCCAGTGATGCACTTCCTCCAGCAAGGCTCCTCTAAGGTTCCGTAACCTCCCCAGACAGCTCCGCCAAATGAGGGTCAAAGAGATGAGTAAATACAAGCAAGGGGCCACAGAAAGAAAAAGAAACTGTAAGTGCTGAAACACAAACTAGAACTAAGAACACAAACAGAAAAAACAACAACAACGTGACAGCATTCAACACACACTTTTCAGAGACAGTTTTGAATATCAGTGGTCTCAACTCCCCGACCAAAAAGCACAGGTCTGTTGATTGGATTGAGAAACAAAATCCATCTTTTTGTTGTCTACAAGAAATTTATTTGATCTTCGAGGATAAGAACTAACTCGGAGTGAAAGGATGAGAAATGGCACCTGGGAAAGTGGGCATCACTATCATCCTACCCGACAAAAAAGGCTTCAAACCAAAAATTACTCAGAAGAGATAAAATCTTTTCATTCTGATCAAGGAAACAGGCAAGAAGACACTGCAATCCTAAACAGCCAACAGCTGCTTTGAGGGGAAGAATCAGTTTTCTCCAGGGACCCTGATGTTCTCCAGTCCCAGGGGTCAGCCCGTAACACATGCGCATACAAGCAACACAAAACGGACTCAGTAGGCAGTAGGCGCAGGGCTCTCTCTCTCTCTCTCTCTCTCTCTCTCTCTCTCTCTCTCTCTCTCTCTCTCTCTCTCTCTCTCTCTCTGTGTGTGTGTGTGTGTGTGTGTGTGTGTATGTAACAATAATTATAGGAGAAGAGGTCACGAATTCAAGAGAGTAGGTGGGAACAAGGGAGAAGTTGGAGATGGAAGGGAGGGAGGTGAGGGAAATGTAAATATGGTACTCAAGTGCCAAATGCTCAAAAACAGGAACATTTTAAACTGAGAAAAAGAAAAACGTCACTAGAGCCAGTTCACTAACAGGTCGTAACAGGAGAGTCCCACTGTTGAAGAACAACATGGTCATAACTCCCTCTTTTCCCAGCTTCTGCCCTTGGGGCGTTTAGTCCAGCCTCACTAGGAGACACACTGCGGCAAACTACTGAGTCCCTGGCCCCGAGGAGGCACTCGGGAGTAAGGACAGTTACACTTCAACAGAAGCTCAGCAGGTGTTGCAGGGAAACCCTGGGTTTGGGACTCTCCTGGGTGCCCCAGAAACAAGACACTTTGTTAAAGCCCTTTCTAAGGCAGCACTTCCAAATGAAGGCTAGCAAAGCAGAGCCTCTCACCCGAGGGAGGAAAACTGCTCACCGCAAGCGCGAAGGGTATCCGTGAAAACTGGGGCACAGAGCAGCGTTTGAGGGGACGGTCTTCTGCTCTCCTTAAAGCAGACATGTGTGGGACAATGCTGCAGCTACCCTCCAGAGTAACTCCCCAACAGTACCTTCCTCCCATAGAATACGACATCACATTTAAGGGCGAACTTTCACTGGTACTATTCTAGTCTAGGCCTATGTGCTGAGGTTTTAATCCAACGGCATGCTGCCCCCTCCTGTTCAGCTGTATTACTACACCCTGTTGTGTTGAGGAACAGAGACTAGTGTTCTCTCTACTTCAGAAGGAGAAAAGAAATAAACCGGACACGTGATGAAACTGCCAAAAACATACAAACGTAATCTATTATTCTTTTTTTCCTCTAAGAATAAAAATGGTAAATTTTGGCTCGGATAATAGCTAATAACTAGCACTATACTAAGTTCGTGGCCCACACTGCATCATTTAATTCTCCCAGTGTCCTAAGGAGAGAGAACTACCAGTTTCTCTGAACTTGTATTCAGTTCAAAGGACGAAGACATAAAATATCACATCAGAACAAAGAGAAGTCAACAGCGTGTGGTAGGCACAAAGGAGAGTGCTGGGACACAGGACCCCATGGCGATGGCAGGGTCAGCGCTTTGCTGACATTGCATTGGCTGTTGTTAGTAATGTCTGGCTGCATTCGGGGAAGTGCAAGTTAAAAGGACTCTGAGATTCTGTCTCACACCAGTCAGAATGGCTGCCATCAAGAAAACAAATGACAACAGGTGTTGGTGAGGATGTGGGGGAAAGAGAACCCTCATCAACCATTGGGAGTATAAATTCCCTATGGAAGTCAGTGTAGAGATTTCTCAAAAAGTTAAAAATAAACTATCATGTGATCCAGCTCTTTCACTCTTGGGCATATACACAAAGGACTCTATATCCTACTACAGAGATATTTGCATAGACATATACATTTGAGTATACATATTCATCGCTGCCCTGTTCACAATAGTCAGGAAGTGGAATCAGTCCAGATGTCTATGAACTGATAAATAGATGATGAAAATGTGGAGCATGTGCCCAATGGAATTTTGTTCAGCTGTAAAGTAAACATGAAATTTGCAGGCAAATGAAAGGAACTGGTCCCCTCCCTCATTGTAGATACTAGTTTCAAATTTTAAATTTATGTGTTAATTTGGTATGTCTGCAGAAATCAGGAAATTAGAAAGGGCACATGGGGGATGCAATAGGCCTTGAAGGTGGGGGTGGGGTAGTAAAACACACGTGATACAAAAGTAGAGGCGGGGATACTGGAGGTTAAAGGGTTAAGTTGGGTGCTTTAGTTACTTTTCTATTGCTGTGATAAGATACCATGACCACAACAACTTATAAACTAAAGCATCTAATTTGGGGCTCACAGTTTCACAGTCCCTAACTATCACAACAAAGAGCGTGACAGCAGACAGGCTGGCGTAGAGCTGGAGCAGCAGCTGAGAGCTACATCATGGTCCACACACACAAGGCAGAGAGCTACTTGGGAATGGTTCGGGCCTTTAACATCTCAAAGTCCTCCCCCAGTGACACAGCTCCTCCGATGGTACACATCTCCTGATCGGTCCCAAACAGCGCCACCAACTGGGGACCAAGTGTTCAAGTATATGAGCCTATGGAGACCATTCTCATTCAAACTACTGTAAGAGGACGGCAGTTGGGGATAGAGAAGGGGAGAGGGGTTTTGGCTGGAAGATGTGAGGATGGGATTGAAAAGGGGATAGAGAGAGGGATAACCAAGACTGGGGACATATGAAAAGCTCTATGGAAACCTGCTACTTTGTAAACTAATTTTAAAATATAATTGTAAATGAATTTCTAAATGGTCTTATTAAATAAAAAACATGGAGCCAAGCCGGGCGGTGGTGGCGCATGCCTTTAATCCCAGCACTTGGGAGGCAGAGCCAGGCGGATCTCTGTGAGTTCGAGGCCAGCCTGGGCTACCAAGTGAGTTCCAGGAAAGGCGCAAAGCTACACAGAGAAACCCTGTCTCGAAAAACAAAAAACAAAACAACAACAACAACAAAAAAAAAAAAAAAACATGGAGCCAAATATAGGGGGAAAGCCTTAGAGAGATCAAAGAAATAGGGAAAGCCACCAACCAACCTTACCTCACCAACTCTGCAGCTTCCAAAGGCGCGCTACTTCCTGTCTACCCACACACATATGCCTTGCTGTTCTGCCATCTGATTTGCTTTCTGTCTAATTATATCACTTCCTCTTCCTGCCCAGCTCTGTCACTTTCTGTTTGTACAGACCTCCAGACCTCCATGGTTAACTAGTGTTGGCATTAAGGCATGTGCCACCACACATAATTATTTTTAAAAAGAGAATTTAAACAGAGGTATCCTAAATGGATAATAATGCTCCCAGAAACCATGGGTTATTAAACAAAGATTCCAGTTCCAGGCATGGGATACCTCCCTGTACATCACTGGTCAGAGAGGACCCAGAGGCTCCTGAAATGATACAAGTTGTTGCTATCCATTGCTCTTGTTTACCAACCAGCACTACATGGTCTGACCCTATTGCTGAAGACATGGTACACTGTAGTTGCAGGTAGATAAATCAACCTGGAACCAATTTGAAAACTTCCCCTCTGCTGACTAACTTTCAGTGCTGGAAGATGCTATGCTGGTCACTGGAGAAAAAAAAATGTCATTAATAATCTTACCCATTGGTGGACCCTGCATTTCACAGTACTGATCTTCCAGACAAAAATGTGTCCACTGGTGCAACAGTGGAATGAATATTATGGGGGTAACCAATCACTTTTGGATTGGACTTTGAGGCTCATTACACAGGAGAGAACTCAGGCCTGGCACTACAAACCTGGTCAAAAGCCTGTGACTAGAGGAGTCACAGAGTGTAGTGGGGAGAAACCTACTTCTGTTATTTCATTAAATAGATGCATCAAACTACATTCTAAATGTTTATGTTTATACCCACGGATTAGTGCTCTTCAGTACTGATCAAAGAAATTTCTTTTTACATCGAGTGGTGATTAATACAGAAACTCATAATTGGAAAAAGTGATACTATTAAGTGAGTACTTGCTCCAAAATGGCATATCTCTATTACCCTCCCCTCCAGAAGGCTCTGGGAACATTGTGAAAGAGGGTGCAGGAAGATGTAAGCACTGGATACTGAGGGAGAGTGTTGTGGAATGCTGTCTTCTGTCTGTGAATGGCCGT